ACATTCCCCCCTTTGACACATGGTCTCCACCATGCGTTAAAACAGCAAAAGAATGAAAGAAATGTCGAGGTAGGCAGGGGTTGTTGTTTGGACCTAGCCAAATATCATTAGTGAACGTGCTTCCAAGGCGTTTCCATTCTGCTCGCTCAGAAGGTGTTGAGAGTTTTTGCATGTCTGTGATGGTGAATGAGTCAGGTGAGGCTGTAGTCTGAGATGATGAGCAGATCATAAGAGGAAGTGGGTGGATCCTTTCAGGAGGTGTGGTAGCAGCAGATTTAGCTGCTATGTCAGCAGCTGCGTTGCCCCTAGAGACATGGTCAGTGTTTCGGGTATGGGCTGCACATTTTACTACAGCAATGTGTTTGGGAAGTGTGATTGCTTCTAAAAGATTAGCAACAAGTTTGTGGTTCAAGATGGGCTGTCCATCTGAACGAAGGAAGTGACGATGTTTCCACAAAGCTCCAAAATCATGTACAACACCAAAAGCATAGCGAGAGTCAGTGAAGATGTTGACAGATTTGTTTTCAGAGAGTTGGCAAGCTCTGGTCAAGGCTATGAGTTCACAGGCCTGAGCTGAACAAGGAGGCAATGAACGAGCCTCAATGGTGGAGGAGGAAGTTACAACTGCATAACCGCTGTGAATAGAGCCAGTGTTAGGATCACGTGAAGATGAGCCATCTACAAAGAGTTCCCAGTCTGGGTGTTCAAGAGGTTCTTGTTGTAAGTCAGGTCTAGGTGTGCAAAGCACTTCAAGTTCAGCTAAACAGTCATGTGGTGTGCCTTCGACAGGTGAAGGTAAGAGTGTAGCTGGATTTAAAACGTTGCAACGTTGGATGGTGATATTTGGCATGTCAAGAAGAGTGGTGTGGTACCTTAACCAACGCGCTGTAGACAAGTGAGCAGTTTTTTGCTCGTTTAGAATGTGAGTGACAGCGTGTGGTACAAGCAAGGTCAAATCAGAGTACCCCACAATGTCTCTACTGGCCAATACAGATTTTTCTGCTGCTGCAACAGCGCGCAAGCAAAGTGGGAGTCCTGCAGCAACTGGATCAAGTTTTGATGAAAAGTAGGCCACAGGTTTCATGAGGTCACCATGCCTTTGCAACAAAACTGATGTCATGCATCCCTCCCTTTCATCCACCGCCTGCACAAATGGGCGGGTTGGATCAGGAATTCCTAAGGTGGGGGCTTTCTGCAGCTGTAATTTGAGAGTCTCAAATGCTGACAGTGCAGGTGGTGTCCAAGACAATTTAGAGCTCATTTGAAGGCCTTTTTCATGACAAACAGCGCGGAGTGGTGTTTCAAGTTCTGCGTAGTTTGGAATGAAATGTCGACAATAACTGCATAACCCTAGGAATGACATGAGCTGCTTTTTTGTTTCAGGAAGAGGAAGAGCAACAATGGCTGTAACACGCGCAGGAGCCAGCTCTCTTCCTTCTGCAGAGATTCTGTGACCCAGAAATGTAACCAGTGGCAACACAAACTGTAGTTTAGACAACGAGGCCTTGTGTCCTTCTGCAGCTAGATACTGCAGGAGGCGGATTGTGTGTGTTTTGCATGTTTGTGCATCAGGAGCAGCCAAAAGAAGATCATCAACATATTGAAGAAGTGCACAATCAGGTGGAAGACTGAATCCTGCCAGACTATCTCTCAAAGCCTGGTGGAAAATAGTTGGAGACTCACAATAGCCCTGGCAAAGGCGAGTAAAGGTGTAAGACTTTCCTAAAAACTCAAATGCAAACCAGTACTGGCTGTCTGGATGCACAATGACACTAAAAAAAGCGTTGGCCAGGTCTATGACTGAAAAGTGGGTGGAGCCAGTTGGTATTTGAGACAAGATCACATAAGGATTAGGGACGATCGGTGCACGAGCTTGAACTGCAGCATTTACAGCTCTAAGATCCTGAACAAACCGCCACTCATCAGGAGGAGTGGGGCGGATCTTTTTCACTGGAAAAATTGGAGTTCTCACAGGTGAAGTGGGACAAGGAACGATTACACCTGCTTCCAGAAGAGAGTGAAAAACAGGTGTAATGCCTGAGGCTGCCTCAGGTTTCAGTGGATACTGTGGTATTTTTGGTCGATAAGAAGATTTAGGAGTAATTTGGATGGGCTCCTGACCTTTTATCAGACCTACATCATACTTTGTCTGGGCCCACAATGTGGGTGGAACAGCAGAGAGGTCTGGGTTGTCTGAAGTCATCGTAGGCAGTGTTAGTCATGCAGAGGTGTCAATCACTTCTTTGAATGGGGTGACCGGAAGTGATGAAATAAGTGGTTGTCTGTACATCTCCAGAGCAGGAGAGTAAAAACAAGTGTCAAGTGGTTGCCAGTCAGATGCACAATGGGCTCTCAGTGCTAGAGGGCCTAAAGAGCGCCACTGAGCTTCAGGAGGTTTAGCAAGAGAAACATGAGGAAATGAGTCAGGTACTGTGAAATAGCATGTTTGTGGTGTGACATCATCTGTGAGGCATGTCAACAGGAAACATGTGGTCTTTGTCCAGCAGATATCTGTAGTATGTAAGTCAGTTGGTGGTGTTTGCATGAATGAATCTCCTAGCTGATCAGCTGGGTCTGAAGTAACACGAGCAGTGCAATGCAGCTGTTGTTCATGCATGAATGTGCATGAAGGTGGAAGTCTATCTTTGGCCATAGAGAGCAAGGCTACACGCTGACTCTCATCAGTGAGGGACCATTCAAATACAAACAGCAGATCAGGCACTAGTGTCACCAAAGTGTCCACTGAGTGTGTAGACTTTGACACCACTAGTCCTTCAGGGCTACAATCGATGGACAGGTTGAATTTAAGAATTAGATCTCTGGCCAGAAGATTTATTGGACACGTCTGTGAGAGTAGAAACTGATGCGAGTGGGCAGTGTGATCAAAAGGGTCAATCACATTCAGAGGAGTTGTCATTACCTCTGGGATTGCTACACCAGATGCTCCTGTGGAGTGGATAATCTTGCCACACAGTGGAGCATGTGGGAGACATTTCTTCATTATCAAAGATTGAGTGGCCCCTGAGTCCACTAAGAACTTTAGTGGAACATTGTTTACAAGCATTGTGAGCATGGGTAACTTCAAACATGCTGACTGGGTGTATTTAAAATACGTGGAGGTGCATGTGGTATCAGTAGGTGAAACAGCTGGTGTGTGTGTGCGTGTACTTGCTGTTTGGAGACCCGGACCTTCCTCACCGCCCCCTTCTAGTCAGGATGAGTGCCCGCCTCGGTGGCCACGACCCCTGGGTGGACCCTGGCTTCGACCAACCGATTGTTGGGAGCCTGGGTGAAAGTTCTGTTCATGGTTCACGGGCCATGGCTCTCGTGGTGGCATTGGTGCTCGATTCTGGAATGGTCGGCCACGCCCTCGCCATGTGGTGCGTTTTTGTGGACAGTCTCTCATCCAATGGTCAGTCCCTCCACACAGGAAGCATGGCTGTGGCCCTCCTGCGTACCCACGTGGTTGTTGCTGTTGTGAGCCTGGCCAAGGGCCAGGGGGTGGTGGTGGGCGTGAAAAAGCTGGAAGCTGTTGTGGTGGGGCAGTGTTCAAGGTCATCTGTTGTGCAGCTTGAAGAAGAGTCAGCTGAGCATTTTCTGCTTGTTTTGTCTTTTTCTTCAATGTTGCAGTTTCTTCGGATGTGTGCTGTTCCCAGGCGTGTCTGGCATGACGTAGGAGGTCATTGAGGCGAATGCCAGCTTTCCAGCCTATGTATGTGTTCTGGACAGACTTGCGGATTGTTGGCAAGAATCCATCCATCACACATTGACACAGAATGGTTTCGAAGGCTGAAGCCTGTGCAGCATCACGCCAGTCGTTGTCCGGAAAAGCGATGCCAGAGTGTGTGCGAAACACAGGGATGAGACGATCAATGTACTCTTGAGGGGGTTCACCACTCTTCTGGACCGTGTCCTTGATCCTTGCATATTGAGGCGTCTGTGGAAATGCTGTCTTAACTCTCCTGACAATGTCACCCACAGCTGTCACAAAGTCTTGGTTATCTGCGTGGGCGTATTCGACACGCATCAGCCGTTGGTTGCCAGGCGGGACCTCAAACAGCTGTGCGCCTATGGTGCTTACAAAGTTCATACCATAGACAGCTGTGAGAATCATTTTTAGTTCTGGTATGGTGGGGCGGAGAATACGAACCATGTTGGTGATGGCTTCACCTATGGCATCCCCTCCTTGGGCCATGTCTGGGAGGTGTTGTTTTGCCAGGCTTGTCAGGTCGCTCAGTGGCCAAGTTCTGAACACCAGTTGTGGTCCGTCCGGTCCACCCACCTCCAGCATCGGCATGGTCGTGGAGTTGTGTTCACCATCTGAAGTCATGGGGGAGCTTATAGAACCGTTGTTGTGCTGTGACTGTTGTAGTCTCTGTATTTCAGCCTCCAGCAGTTTTTCTTTTTCTCTGAAAGCTTTAATCTGCTCCTCTTGCTCTGCAGCTTTGGATCGAGTTATGATTGAAGAACCTGCAGAAGATGATGAAAGTGATGGTGAAGAGTTTGAAGATGTTGATGTTGATGAGCTGATAGCAGGGGATGGTGGTGGTCTGGTTGTAACATCTCTTCCTCCTGCTGCTCCTTGTTCATCCTGTTGCTGAGGGGCAGCTGGCCTTGGTCCAATAAAATCATCGTCTGAAGTGAGGATCCAAGCAGGTTTCAGTCCAGGGCGAGTCTCATGTGCTTCCATCTGTGGTGGGCCATAGGGTGGTGGGTCTTTGAGTTCAGCCAGCGAGGGGTGGATCGAGGTGGAGGGTGCGGTGGGAGGAAGAGGTCCGTGGGTCTCCGGTGCATGTGTGAGAGAGGACAGAGGAAAAAGAGAGGTTTTCAGTTCTGTTTTTTTTGTTTTTTTCTCGTCTTTGTCTTTTTGAGTCTCTTGTTCTCTGCATTGTTTCTGTAAATCTTCAACTTTTTGAGACATCTGTAATAATCTGGACTCCGTTTTACCCATCATATTTTTAGACTCATTTTTCCACATTTTAAAAGCTTCCTCATGCTTGTGCATCGTTAAGTAAACCTTTTGAGGTATATTCTTCATCTGAATCATGCTCTGCTTTTGCTGCAATAATTGTTCTTCGAGTTTTTGAATGTCTTGGGTTTCTAAAGATCCATTTTTAGGAAAACCAAATTTGTAATGCCACTGAGAAACGAAACTTAGACAGGAAACTCCGTATAAGCGTTTCATTTTTTCTGCAACCGAACCGTTTGGTATATAATCTAGATTCTTACTTTTTGTCGCTCCCATTTTTATCTTTAAGACGAAACTATTTTATTTCCTCAGCCCTCTTTATCAAGACGAGCCTACACTCGGTTTTCCTAGAGAAAACTTACCTCGGTTTTCCTAAAGAAAACTTACCTCGGTTTTCCTAAAGAAAACTTACCCTCGGTTCCTACTCTAATTTTCAGAACTTACACTCGGTCCTCCTAATGAGAACTTACCTCGGCTTTTCCTAATGAAAGCTTACTTATTTTATGAGAGAGCGATCTTTTTGACGGAGTCGTGTCTGTCGCTAGCGCTTTTTTTTTTATTTTTTTTATTTTTATTTTATTTATTTATTTACCTTATCGTAGATGTGTCTCTGGTTTCCTGTTTTCGAATACGGCTGGAGTCGATCCCCCCCCCGGAGAACCAGACGTCCTCCCGCTCCCAAAACGTCCTAGTTGGAGGGTCGGAGGTCCGGTGATCAGCCTCGTCCGATTCTCCGTAGGCCGGACGAACTCTCAGGCGTATCCCGGCGGTGCCTCCAAACTTTTGTGGAAAATAAATAATTGTTCTAAACTTAAAAAAAACTCTTAAAA